CCTGATTCTCGCTGGGGGGTCAGACAGCCACTGGGGACCTCTCTGACCCCTGATTCTCAAGCTGAGGAGTCAGACAGCCACTGGGGACCTCTCTGACCCCTGATTCTCAAGCTGAGGCGGTCAGACAGCCACTGGGGACCTCTCTGACCTCTGATTCTCCAGCTGAGGCGGTCAGACAGCCACTGGGGACCTCTCTGACCCCTGATTCTCAAGCTGAGGGGCTAGACAGCCACTGGGGACCTCTCTGACCCTTGATTCTCAAGCTGAGGAGTCAGACAGCCACTGGGGACCTCTCTGACCCCTGATTCTCAAGCTGTCAGACGCTTACAAAGCAACTAAAGCTAAATAAGAAGGAAAATACAAACATTCCATAAATAAGACTCCAAAGATCTTTTTAGGCTGAATTGTGATATTTTATCTATTGGATCACATGACAGGAAATCGGACGCATATTGTATGAAAGCCAGAGCCCCCTCTCACTGAACGGTAATGTTATGTATATGTGTGCCATCAATGGTAGTATTGTAACGTCTCACAATGTAGAGATATCATCGTGTTTTACTGCTTAGAGCAGTGGTTCTCAACCTTTCTAGGGCCGGGACCCCCTGGTAACATTTGCCAAGTTGTGGTGACCCCCAACCGTAAAATTTAGGGATTCGCCAATACTAGTATCTGTGTGGGCTCTCAGGTGGTTAGTGGGACTCTCTGGTGGCATCCAGTGCTGTCCCTGTGGTGCCCAGTGCTGTCCCTGTGGTGCCCAGTGCTGTCCCTGTGGTGCCCAGTGCGGGCTCTGTGGTGCCCAGTGTGGGCTCTGTGGTGATCGAGCACTCACCTCCCCTCACTCCTGCCTGCACCCCTCTCTCTGCTCCTCTCCGGCCGCTGCTGCAGCGCTATTTAGGAGAACTGACACTGCTGCACTAGGAGGAGGCTGAGGAGCCTCTTACCTAGAGCAGCACAAGGCATGTGGGGACCCCCTCATCTGTGGATCACGACCCACAGGTTGAGAACCACTGGCTTAGAGGGATGTGCAGAACATCAGTTGGTGCAGTCTCACTTCTCAGGTCATCAGTTGGTGCAGTCTCACTTCTCAGGTCATCAGTTGGTGCAGTCTCACTTCTCAGGTCATCAGTTGGTGCGGTTCCAGTTCTTAGGTCATCTGTTCCCACATTCTCCTGTTATTAGCTGGTGCAGTTGAAGTTCCAATATCATTGGTTGGAATGGTCTCTGTTCTCTTGTCATCAGTTGGTGCAGTCTTAGCTCTCAGGTCATTGGATGATGCTGCCTCAGTTCTCATATCACTGGCTGGTGTGGTTTAATTTCTCATGCTATTGGTTGGTGTGGTCTCAGTCCTCATGTCACTGGTTGGTGTGGTCTCAGTCCTCATGTCATTGGTTGGTGTGGTCTCAGTCCTCATGTCACTGGTTGGTGTGGTCTCAGTCCTCATGTCATTGGTTGGTGTGGTCTCAGTCCTCATGTCACTGGTTGGTGTGGTCTCAGTCCTCATGTCATTGGTTGGTGTGGTCTCAGTCCTC